TTATTGGTAATGTTCTATCTTTACAGCACCCTTATTTATAGCATTCTAGTGGTCTGTTAATGCGCACATGAGTGGATATTTTTAAAATTGAGTATCTACAATCTCACCAAATTTATTTATTTTTAAAATTGAGAACGGAACGTGTAATAAAATCCTAAAGGAGAATTCTTGTTATTGGAAAACGGAGAAGCGGAAAATTAGAATATAAAAAGTTTTCCGCTGCCGGGATTCGAACCCAGAATCAACATGCAATTTGAGAATTAGCCAGTACTACAGCGGAAATTCTTGTTACTTTAGTCCAATAAAATCTTTTTGTAATCAATAGCCTACCTAGGCAACCGCCGAATAAATTGTGCACGATAAACGGAATATTACACGGATAAATATATCTTTACGGGCTGTAGTAAAAAGGTTTTATTTTTAAGGATTTATTTAAACAGGCTTTCATTGGCAAATTATTGTGTGGATAATGGTCTACACAGTGTTATGTGGACCATAACAAAAAGTACATTTTTAATATATTAAATGTACATTATTTTTGTACTAAGTGTACATTATATTGCCTAAATATAATGTACATTATTTTTGTGCTGAATATACATTATTTTTGTACTAAATGTACATTATTTTATAGTATACAAAATATGGTCCACACAATTTGTATGTGCCATGGTCCACACAATAATGATTGACTTTCATTAGGGTTTGCCTATTTGGGCCTACAGCTTACACTCATGATTTACACTTTTCTCTAGGGCAAATTATGTTGTGTAACCGCTTCCACTTTGTAAGGTGGACACGGTTTTAAAACTGTTCATAATTATTAATATATAGTTCAAAAATTGTGAACATATAGTTCTATAATTATGAACAGAGTTGTGAACATAATTATGAATATATAGTTCTTTAATTATGAATATAGAGATTCAATAATTGTGAATATTAAGTTAAAAAATTATGAATATATAGCTTTATAATTATGAACATATAGTTCAGTAATTATGAACATAGAGTTCTGTAATTATGAATATAGAGTTCAATAATTATGAATATGAAATTCAAAAAATTATGAATATATAGCTTTATAATTATGAACATATAGTTCAGTAATTATGAACATAGAAGGTGGACACGGTTCCACAGCATAACAATTGTTTCTCTAGTGACCAGCTACATTCCCCAATGAAGACTGGGAAATTATACTATGTATGTACTATGGTCTATATTACAAATAAATGTTCATTTTTAATATAATGAATGCTCATTTTTTGTGTACTAAATGCTCATTATTTAATAATATACCAAATAATGAATATTCAACACCCAAAAAAAAAATTGAACATTTAATGTATTAAAAAATAATCTTCAATATATTTAAAATGAACCTTATGTTACGTTCACCATATATATATATATATATATATATATATATATATATATATATATATATATATTGTGTTTAGCTACAGTCTACTGACAAAAAAAAATAAATTGTATATGTATAAATGCATGCATCTAGGGGTACAATTCCAAAATATTTTTAAATATATCATTATGTTAGTTTTTTTTTTTTTTTTTTAAGATACAAATAGGCCCATTGAACTATTTAGGAAATAACAATTAATCTACTGAAGTCAAATAAACTCCAAAATCATCAACAAACTCGACAAAAAGAGTAATTGATATTTTTAGCAGGTTAACAACTAATTTTTCCCGATTGATGTCATGTATTTATTTTATTTTATACTTTATTATTATTATAATCCACCATTTCTTCTCTTCGTTGGGTTTAAGTAGCATTTCTAAGATATAATCTTATTGAATTACACACTACAGATTGAAGCATAGAATCATTGAAAACCTAGAAAAAATACCTTCACTCTGTGAAAATCCTAATAGAAAGGGGAGAAATAATTACCTAGATGGGTAAGAAGCCCTTGTAATTTAAAAGGCAGCGAGAGAAGGAAATACAAGCAAGGTCTTAGAGACGGACGCACAGTGGCTGCAGAGAGGGAGGGATCGGAGGAGAGAGTTCCAATTCGGCATCACACTTCACCTCGTCTCTGATCTACGAAGAGAATAAATGATTACATGTATGCAGTGGACGATGATGATGATGATAATAATAATAATAATAATAATAATAATAATAATAATAATAATAATATTATTATTATTATTATTATTATTATTATTATTATTAATATCTTATCTTATCTTATCTTATAACTATAATATAGTCATATGGTTTTGTGAGCAATTATTGTAACAATAATTGCTCACCAAACCATATGGTTATATCATAGTTAAGATTTATTTATTTATTTATTACATGGTGCATAAAAATTCAAATTCACCTTAATTCATTTTCATCACTCTTGCGTCATCCAATCCATCCAAAAACTCACAAATAAACTTCAATTGAGATTATTCTAATGAGGTCAATCTTAAAAATTTAATACATAGTATTTAATATTACAAATTTTCAAGAATTTAGTAAACTACAATAGTAATTGAATTACAATTTTCAGAGTCATCACGGATCAAAATTTTTAGACCTTTGAGATTTTTAACAATTTCCAGAGTCACCACGGATAAAAAAATTTAGACCTAAAAATTTCTAAAAATCTCAAAGGTCTAAAAATTTTGATCAGTGGTGACTCTGAAAATTGTAATTCAATTACTATTGTAGTTTACTAAGCTCAATTCTTAAAAATTTGTAATATTAAATACTATGTACTAAATTTTTAATATAATTTAAGATTTGTAGTAATCACCCACCTTAAATACCAATTCTTATTTTAATTTTAAATATATTTATGTTCTAATTTTATCATAGCAACTCACACATAATTATTAAATAACAAAATTTTTATATATGAATAAACCTCATATATAGTATATTTTTATAAGGGAAAAATACTAGTTAATATTAATAATAATAATAATAATAATAATAATAATAATAATAATAATAATAACATTATTATTATATATTTTATATAAGGGTAGTTATGTCTTTTACATATATATTCCATTTCTATTCCTTAAACCAACCAAACACTCGAATAACATTCCTAAAGTCTATTCCTTAACCGAACCAAACAATACAGTCTATTCTATTCATTACCTATTACATTCCTTATGGAATAGTATTCCTATTCCCTCAAAATTCATTCCGCGAACCAAACGTGCTGTAAATTCCTTCGTAATTCTCACTTTATTCCTTTTCCATGAAATTACAATTCATTTCCCTAATTTCCTCTTTCCAACCAAACGGTCAGTAAACCACAAATGTATTTCAACAAAATTTGAAAATGTGTTTGACGTATATATAAGCTTATTAAATGCGTTTGGCAAAAAAAAAAAAAAAAAAAAAAAAAACAAGAAGTTAAACGCAGTTGCAAATTGCGTTTGAAAGCGGATTGAATTTGGCTAGCAGAATGTAGATCATAGTGGCCGAACCAAACAATACATTCTATTCTATTCATTACCTATTACATTCCTTATGGAATAGTATTCCTATTCCCTCAAAGTTCATTCCGCGAACCAAACTTGCTGTAAATTCCTTCGTAATTCTCACTTTATTCCTTTTCCACGAAATTACAATTCATTTCCCTTAATTTCCTCTTTCCAACCAAACAGTCAGTAAACCACAAATGTATTTCAACAAAATTTGAAAATGTGTTTGATGTATATATAAGCTTATTAAATGCGTTTGGCAAAAAAAAAAAAAAAAAAAAAAAAAAAGTTAAACGCGGTTGCAAATTGCGTTTCAAAGCGGATTGAATTTGGCTAGCAGAATGTAGAGCAAGTTGGGATTAAAAACTTTTCCCTTGCAAGCTATTGCATTCCTATCATCTGAAAAGGCAAGAAACTTGAGAAAATTCTCCAAAAACCTATAGCAAATTTTAAGTGCATTAGAGAGCTAGGAGAGTATAAAAGAAGAAGTATAAAAGAAGAAGAAGAGAAGAAGAAGTATAGAAGAAGAAGAAGATATATATATATATATATATATATATATATATATATATATATATATATATATATATAGTAAATACCCAAAATGGTCCCTCGACTATAGCTAAATTCACAAATTGGTCATCAACTTTCAATTTAAACCAGTTAAGTCCTTAACTTTACAATTTTAACACAATATGGTCCTCTGTCTATTTGACCGTTTGTTGACTGTGATTTTTGAGGATATATATGCAATTTCATGGTCCATTGTCGGGTTTTTAAGGTTCCGGTTGCATTTTCAGACCGCACTGTTACATTTGAATCCACTGCCGAAAGCAATCTACCAAATCCGGTCGCCTTTCTTCATCCTCTCTTTGAATTCAATGTAGTTGAGTTTGTATCAGAGCGAAGAAGACGACGTGTTTCCGAACCGGTGCAACGTCAACCTGGAAGCCTCCACGTGCTCCGACGAGAGCTGAAGGTTCTTCTGGAGATCGTCGATCACGGTCAACAAATAGTCAAATAGATGAAGGACCAAATCGTGTCAAAATTGCAAAGTTAAGGACTTAATTGGTTGAAATTAAAAGTCGAGGACCAATTTGTGAATTTTGCTATAGTCGAGGGACCATTTTAGGTATTTACTCTCTCTCTCTCTCTCTCTCTCTCTCTCTCTCTCTATATATATATATATATATATATATATATATATATATATATATATATATAGTCAAATAAATGTGTTTTAAAATTAAAATAATATTTTAATATTGCTATAATGAATTTATTGTGCGTATCAAATGAAACTAAATAACATATACAAGAAGAATTATACTTCAACATTACTAAAACAAAGCTCATAATCCACAGTAAAATTTGCCCAACCCAAACACCCGGGGCATGCACTTGTGCTGCTACTCCAGACATACCATCATTTTATAATGACTTACTGGGTTATTAAAGTTTTACTAGGCAAAAATATATCGTAAAATGGCCAATGGACACTAGAAATTGAAGAAAGTTAAAGTAATTTCTATGCACAAACCAACTTTGGTGTATACAACTTTTTATGAAATGAGCAGAGCATAGCTAATTCTCCAAGTCATACATTTCTCATGGTGTTAGTATTGCCAGACAAAAGTCATCTATTTACGATGAGTTAGGACACTGCAGAACTCACAATACAATGGCAGAGAAATCAAATCTCTTTCCAACACCCTTCAGGTTAGTCAGCTGCCACCCACATCCATCTTCGTAACATTCGACCTGTCATTAGTTGAGGGAACATTAGAACGAAAACACAATACGAAGCAGTTCTTCTATTAATTGTAGTAGTTATAGAACATACAAACAATGTATTTATATGCATCTCTAAGCACGGTACATGTACAAAATTACCCTTGTACCGTACCACAAGGGCGCTGCCCCTGCACCCCGAGCCACCTCGGGTTACGTAACTAAAGATGGATAGGTGTAGACATCATTCTGCTCCGTTCTGTCGAACACCTATCATCCAGTACATATGAGGCATATACATGAATAGGGGCTTACATACCGTTGCTAAAATTTCTTCACTGTTGTTTATCCCCCCAATGGCATATATCTTTCCACCAATCACAACTGAGCCGAAATGACCTCTAGAGTCCTTCATCTGCTCTCCCATCATCCAAGAACCAACCCGAGGATCAAAAACTTCAACACTTGGGACCATCCTTTCTCCATCATAGCCACCGAGAGTATACCTGTTGGATCATTATAGAGCTATGCTATGAATTAACAAAAAATATAAAAGATTGCACTCCTTGAAATGTCCAATTTAGAGGTTGCACATAGATTGCACACCAACCCTGCCCTCAAATGGTGCTCGTGTTTTAGAATAGGTAATAACAGCTAGACCAATTCAATGGTTTCCATGGTAAAGACATAAACAGTACAGTTTATTAAACAATCCACCAAACACAATCATTATGGAAATAAAACTTACAATTTCTCATTATATGCAACCAAACAATGGTATGCCCTCTTCGTTCTCATGTTCGCTAATCTTCTCCATGTATGCTCCCTTGGGTCAAATCTTTCAGCAGATCTAACATACCAAATAGGAATCACTATAAGCCATTATTAAATTTAAAAGGTAAAATTTAGCATATTTTTGAAAGTAGATGGTAAGTCCCACATTGATAAAATAAGAGAGGTTATATGGGTTTATAAGGTCATGGCCTCATGGGTTAGACTAATTAATTAGTTGGATTCAAACTTCTAGTGTAGTTTGGCCCATGTGAATTATAGCCCAATTGTTATACCATACATAATCTAAAGGTTATTTTTAGACCAGGGCCTTAAGTGACCCTAGCCCAATCTAAGTTTATAAGAGTAGAAATAAAACATCTATATTAACAAATACAAATGGAGTAATTCTTTAGTTGAAGTAAATATTGGACTATTGGTTTTAGAAAAGGAACTTGGTTTGGAAAAAACATGTTTCAAAAAGTATGAGCGAGGGAAAAATTTACAAGGAAAGCATATGACCAATTGACAGAACTAAGCGAGGGAACTTACTTTAAATAATCTCGCCCATCCATACCACCAACCACATAGAGAGCACCCTTAATTTCTACCGCTGCTGTTGCAACCCGCTGAAGAAAGAAGCACGACCAATTGACAGAACTAAGCAGACTTTTTACACAAAAATGAATAATTCTGGGCTAGAAGGTAAATCATATAGATAACAAGGATAAACAGACAAACAGTAGTGGAACTCCCACAAACATCAAATTAGAGTAGAAGGTAAAATTCAAATGGTTCACATTGATACCTTTTCAAGCATTGATCCAGAATGGATCCACTTTCCTACATTCAAGTCAAGCATTTCCACCTCCGAAAAATATTCCACCCCATTTACACCACCAACTGCAAAAATTTTGTCGTACAAAGATGCTCCAGCAAGACTTTGTTTCTTCTGATTTAGTGAAGGCCTTTGACACCATTGATTTGTCTTTGGATTATATGATTCAACTGAATATTTAAAAGAGCTAGTAGCTTTAACTATGAAAAATTGATATTAAACCTATGTAAAACAAATAAGTAAAATGAGACCCTATACCTGTGTCATAGGTCTCGTCACCATACACACCACCCAATACATAAACCTCACTGTTCAAATTTGCTACAGAATGGTATGTACGACAAAATGTCATTGGGCTAAGAGATTCCATCCGATCATGCAATGGAGAGTATGAACTCATTTCATGCAACAAAGCATACCCATCGAACCCTCCCACTACAAGTGCATAATCATCCGTCTTAAGATTGCAGTTTAGTGGTTCAAAATCAACTCCTTCAAACTGCTGGCTTGAAGGCCCTGGTCCAGCTTGCAATAGATTACACCAATTTTGTAATTTTTTATATTCATATCTTGATTGAACCTGATAAGGCAAAAGAATAATAATGTCTAATTTCCTTAACTCAAGGTCATGGATAAATCATATATTAAAAAGAGAGAAGTTGCTCAAGGAAAAAAAAAAAGCATGAACTTTCAACACACTATAACACCCGTCTAAATATTTTGTTTCTGGTTCTCCCATCCAACTTTTCCATTTTCCCTAGAAGCAAACTATCAAGTAACATTTTATAAATGGTAATATATGGATTGATCAGTTTTGGGGAAAGAAAGTCGTATCAATCCTGAGTGATTTCCAGTAGTACAGCTGTAAGTTATGCAGTTTTTCATTCCAATTCATAGGAAACTTTTAATGCATTGTTTCCTTGTTTATGACTGGATAATACCAGTCACTTTCCTATAAATATTTGGTGCTATTCATAAACAGATGATATGAAGAACAAAGTTGTCTCTCATTCTCAAAGACTTAAAGTTTATATATACACACATTGAAAGGAGAAAGGGCTCCTGGACTAGTGAACTATGTAAGAATTTAATACTTTAATGGATTCAAGTCATTCAACATGACTCAAAGCAACCTAGAATTAATGGGTCGACTATTTTAGAGCATTATTTCTAAGAATATTAAATTATAAAACAACATTATTTTAGAATAAGATTCTAAAAAAGGTTTTACCCTTCATGAATTCATTTGTTTACACGTTATCAAAATATACATGTTTGTTTGACTAAAAAGAGCAGAGCAGATTACAAAGTAACCAGTTGAGGAAGCATAACTAGGACAGCTAGGCTATGAAGCCATGTGTTGTGTGACTTGTGTCCAATGACCAGTGAAAAGTTAAATGGAGGATCAAATGACTATATGTGCCAAAAAAGCATTAAAAATATTTCAGGCTTAAGCATGATTGAGAAGCTTTTTTTCATAGCTTAAACATTCTCAATCATGCTCAAGCTAGAAAGGCTTTATAGCCAAGAACTAGTCAGAAATAACATTTCTGTAAAGACTGGTAGAAAAAGAAAACAGAGGAAAACTAAAGAGGAAATTATAAACCAAAATATTTACTGTTGAATGAAAAGTGTGAATGATGCAATTTGTTAATAATTAGCAGGCTCCTGATCATCTTGTATCTCAAGACAAATGGAAAATGTACCCAACTCACAAAAGATATTTGGCAAGGAGCACATACCAGTTCCTTCTCAAGAGTCCAAATTTTTTCTTCTTGTTTTCTTTGCCTATCCTTCAACGTTTCAACAAATTGCCTCAACTATCAAGAAAATATCATAAATAAATTAGGAGGAGAAGAAGAAATCAAGAGGAATTCAAAGACAAAGTATAATTGGAGGAACAATCTATCAACTTGCCTCAACACACTCCTCCTCTACACAGGCTTTATGTAATTCCCCACTTTTGTTGATTAAATGTGAAGTCCGTGACTCCCATTCCTCATTAGATTGCTTTGACATGGGGGTAGTTGGATGTGAAGACACAATCTTCAAATTTTCAAATTTGTTCACCATGTCAGAAGTTGAATTATCTTTGAACAGTGAACTCCAAGCTTTCTGTTCAAATGGAACATGAGCATTACTCTGTCCGATAGAGGTACTAGCTTCAGCCCACTCCTCTGCACAGACCTTGTGTAATTCCCCACTTTTGTGTATTAAATGTGAAGCCGGTGATTTCCATTCCTCATTAGATTGCATAGACAAGGGGGAATTTGGCTGTGAAGACACAATATTCAAATTTCGATCTTTGTTCACAATATCGGAAGTTGAATCATCACTCAACAGTGCACTCCATCTATTCTGTTCAAATGGAACATGAGCATTACTCTGTCCGAGAGAGGTACTAGCTTCACTTGTAATTCTAGGAATATTGCGAGAATGAAGACCATCATTAGGCACTGATGAAGATGAAAACAATTCAATCAGTTTAGCAGTTTGAAACTTGTCCAGCTCAAACCAAAAAAGCTTCGTTGCATAGTAGTTATCAGCAATGATGGGGGAAAACTGGTCTTCTGTCAAAGCATGGCACCTCTTGTAGATATAAAATTGCACCTTCAATGACAGAATATGCTAAGATATGAGCACCACTAACTATTTTATATATAAAAGCTTTTAAAAACAAAGAAGGCAGAAAGGGTATAACTACCTGTGCAGGGTATTCTGTGAGCTCCACACTACCACCAGTCCACGCATGTGGATCAATATTTAATTGTCCATTACCAACAGCCTTGAATATACCGTGAAGCTTCCGATCACTATAGTTAAAAAGAAAAAGTGGAAGCCCAGGACTAACCTTCTTCACATATTGAGAATGTAGATGTGGCAATCCTATCCAACAAAAAATTGGAATCAACATAATAATCATCAAACACTGCAAAATTTCTTCTAGGTAGAAAAGCACAATACGTGAAGGAGTGACTAACCAAATAACTTCTTGGAAAAGCATTCTTGAATTGTATAATGTTTACATCCAAAGATAACTGCTCCTAAATCACTCTTAGATAGATTACGAACAGATGCACTAAAATTGGGTGCCGCTTTGTTTACATGTCTTCCAGCCTTCTTCTTCTTAGAACCCATTCTACCAAGCACTCGATGTAGACAGAAGATAACACACACTCTGCCAAACACCGTATGAAATCAATTGCACAAACTGAAAAACATAAACAAATACCAGCACTAGTCACATAAAATTTCACAAGTTCAATTTTTTTTCAGTTTTATTTCCATCAACATTTTGAACACGCAACATCAATAGCTAACCCTGTTATTGAAGGATGTGTTATATGTATCTCAACTAAAACTAGTTGGACTACACACATTTTATATATTACATGCTAAACACCTATGATATGATTTCACTGACAGACGCACATATTTGTGCGTATATACATGTATCGAAAATCGAAATACATCACACTTAAATACTTGCATAAACACAATATGTATGCGTATTTTTATGTATCTACACAGCTACACTCAAATACACCCCATTTCACACAAAAAATAGAATATCATCAAAACAATAACCGCTAACATGATCAAACAACAAATATTCGTACACACGGATGAAATACACAAAGCGATCATCACATTACAGCCATAATGCTTCGATAATCACTAGCACAAAATCTCTTTTCCAAAAAAAGGAAACATAAAATAAGATTAAAACTACCGATACTTGCCTGTTTATGCAAATGAAATGTAAAATCAGGCGGAGAGAGTGATGAAATGCAGATTAGACGTGCTATTTCCGAGACTTACAAACAAACATAAGCAAATGCCGTGACGGTTCAGTTGGTGCTTTGGAGTAGTGTTTCTGGAACCAGAGTTGAAACGTGAAGAGAGAGAAGGAAGCGCGAAGACTGGAGACTGAGAACGCCATGGTTACTTATTGGAGTGGTGGAAGAAGAGTGGAAACGTGTCCAACGGGAATTGACAGTTTTGGGAAGAAAAGAAAAATAATGGACAAAAATAAGAAAGTTTTGATAATAATAATTGGATAATAACAAAATTTTAAAATGCATTTTTGGTGTTATCTCAAAATATTTTTAAATATAACATTATTTTAGTATTTTTTTATTTTGAAAAAAAGATACAAATAGGCCTATTTAACTATTTAGAAAATAGTAATTAAGCTGAATTCAAATAAGTTTCAAAATCATTAATGAACCTGACAAAAAAAACAATTGACATTTTTAGTCGTTAACAACTGATTTGTCCTGATTGGGATGTAATTTTTTTTATACTTTATTATTATTATTATTATTATTATTATTATTATTATTATAATCCATCGTTTCTTCTCTTCGTTGAGTTCAAGTAGCATTTCTGAGGTAAAATCTTATTGGATTACACATAAAGATGGAAGCATAGAATCATTGAAAATCTAGAAAAAATATCTTCACTCTGATAAAACCCTAATAAAAAGGGGAGAAATAGTTACCTAGATGGGTAAGAAGCCCTTGTAATTCAAGGAAATGCAAGCAAGGTCGCGGAGACGGGCGGCACACAGGTAAACGACGGTGGCTACGCGGAGAGATGAATCGGAAGATGAGGTGTTGAGGAAGAGGTTGTAGATCAGAGGAGAGTGGAGGAATAGAACTTGTTTCGAAGATGGAAGGAGAGGGAGCGAGACAGGGGAAATGAGAATTTATGGTAGAGTAGGTGATCGGCAAAGATCGCGTCAGAAATTCGGAGTGTTAATGCTAAATGCTAATTAGGTATTGATTGTAGTGACTGTCAAAAAGGGAATTGGAAGAAAGTGAGGAGAAAGGGAAAAGATAGAAGGATGAAGGAGAGGTACTTTCCAGCACTAAGCAATGGGCTAAGTACTCGAAAGTGAGAGACTATGTGGAAAGTACCATAACACCTTTGCAGGAACTCCTATGGATATCTTAGAATTCTTGTCTATCTTCCACCTTGAAGTTCCACAAGTAGGGGAATTAGTACAATTTGCATTCTCCTTCCGATATAAGATACAGTCATTGGGACATGCATGTATTTTCTCATAGTCCATTCCCAATGCAACCAAGCTTCTCTTTGCCTCATATAAATAAGAAGGCAATACGTTGTCAGTTGGAAGCATTTTTGCAAACAAATCTAGAAGGTCCGTAAAACTTGCGTCACTCCAACTGTAGTTTGCCTTCAAGTTATATAACTTCACTACCGCTTATAGTTTTGTAAACGTAGTACATCCAGCGTATAGCGGTTTCTTTGCATCTTCAAGTAATTTACTAAATTTGTTGGGATCCTCAACGTATTCATCATAAGCAGCATTTACCATATCTATAGGGTTTTCATCAACAAGCTTATGCTCTTCTCTCCTAAGATGATCAGTATAATTTATTGAGTTGTTTAACATAGCCTTCTCCCCGTGCCATATCCATGACACATATGTTCCATCCATTCCATTACGATACAAGTGTACCCTTATAGTATCAAGAGGTTGCTTCCTTAGGTTGTCACATATTGCACATGGGTATGATATTGAATTAGGATCAACAACATTTTTTTTAGCAAATTGTAAAAAAGTTTCTACTCCAACCTCATATTCATAACATAATATATATTTTGACATCCATTCTTTGTCCATTGTTTATTTATACACCAATGCTACAAAACAGTCAAGTAGAACCTTACATTAGTGGGGTCAGCACACATAATTGGGCAGAAAATCTCAGAGTTGCATATATAAAAGTGGACCCTGGTGCATGGTATAACTACTGGAGATAGATTTTTTTCTGCAATCTCCACTTTCTTAAACAACATAATCCATTCAAACAGAGCAACAAAATCTCATAGTATAATATATTAAAAGTACTATGCTTCAACCTACTTCCATTATGATACTCCTCAGCAACAAACAACGTAATTAAGTACTTAGATTACACCAATGTCATCACCTGTGTATAACAAGAATGTATTAATCTAGCTTAGCATAAAATTCCAGTTTCATGTTGAAATATTTTCTACGAAGGGTATCTTATGTACATGAAGAAACTAAGAACTCGGATTTTTAGCATAAATGTAACAACACTGAGGCATAAATTTCCCATAAATTTTTCAAATCGTCAAACCGCAATTCCCCAACCCTAGCTTCAATCCAATTTTTTTTTTTTTTAACATAAACACACACATTGATACAATCAGATAATATTTGGATGAATTTCACAGCTTATTACATTACAAGAGAAAAACTAACCTTCAATTTTTCACACCAGTTTGCTAACTTCTTCACGGCGACGGTGGCAGAGGAGGGAGGCAGCGATGGCGGCAGAGGTGGGAGGCAGCGAGACGACACTCTCGGCGGAAAGCACTGGGCGGCGCAAGCACTGACTAAGGAGATGGAAAAATTGCAATTGAGAGTTGGGAACGACGGTGTTAGTCGAACTGTCGAAGGGAAAATTTGCAAAGAAGGAAAAATTCGTCCCAAGTAAAAATTTGCAAAGAGGGAAAGAATTGAAGGAATTATTTTTATTTTGCAAATATGGAAATAACATAACATATACTATATACTATGCACTAGAGCTAGCCAAATCGAGGGCCTGGGCCTCAGTTAGCAAAGCTCGGGACCGGCCCATAGTATTCCGGGCTGGTTTCGTGCCGGTCCCGTGCTTCTTGTGGGCCGATCCCGGGCTAGGCCCGTAATTTATTATTTATTATATTTTTTAAAATATAATTGCACAGCTCGGGACCGGCCAATAGTATTCAGGGCCGGTCCCGTGCTAGGCCCGTAATTTATTATATTTTTAAATATATATATTTATATATTTATTTATTTATTTATTTATTTATAAATTGATATATTTTGTTTAAAACAAGATTTAAACCCTTGACATCATAGTAATGAATTTAAGTTCTTTCCAATTAAACTATTACAACATCTTAATACATTAATACTAATTAATATATATATATATATATATATATATATATATATAGATTTTGGATCCGGTGAGGTCATAGGAGTTTGGTGAAATCGTGAGATTCGATCTTGAACATTCATTTTTATATTTTAATGGTTCTGATTTATAGGGTATTTTTGTTTTAATTGTCTGTTATGTAATATAATTGAGGGTAGGTATGTAATTTCCAATATGCATTTATTTCTTTCCGTTTTAATATTGATTCGGCAGTGATATTTTCCTTGTGCGCGTGGATTAATTCGAATCCCTCTCCGTCCGCTCAGTTGATACAACTCTCATTCCTCCGCCTATGTCCCATATTCTCGAATCCCTACTCGCCGGAGGAGTTCTTGCTTGTTCACCGGACCAGCTGCTACGACGGGGGCGGTGGGGGGGGGGGGTGCGGGGGAGAACGTCGCTGCCTTCGTTGGATCTGCTTCGCCGGAAAACAGGGGACGCCACAGGTCGCCGGATCTGTTCAGCTGCTGCCCATCCGGTGTTCTGCTCGCTGGATTCGCCACCAGGGGTCGTGACTGCTGCAACACGCCACCACTGACCGGTCACCGTCGCTGCCTACCACCATCGCTTCTGGATCGTGAAGGAGAGAGATGGAGCTCTATCGCTGCACTTGCCATCGCCGAGCTGAGTTCGCCAAGAATTGTTACGCCGGAGAGGAGCTCTCGCCGCAAAAGGTCGTTGCTACTACGCTGCCCAGCCACCGCCGTCACCTACCACCATCCATAGTTTCTGCCGTTGTGAAGAGAGAGGGAGAGAGAGATGAGGTTTCTGGTTGTTGTTTTTCCATTGGCCAAGAAGTAAGGAGGGAGAGATGAGAGAGAGAAACGGTGGTGTCTAATGCATGTTTGCCTCGTTTGTATAAATTAGATTTTTTAAATTAGCTTTCTTTATGCAGCGCGGAGTGCAACATTCTTGTAGAACATCTTACTTTGTATATTGAGAACATCTTACTTTGTGTATTGAGGTGGGTGCGCATAAATATTGTGGTATGTGTGCACCTAGTTTTCATAGTTGCATATGATATGCTACAAATTTGCATTGGGGACTTTCATAATTCATTGTGTGCGTAGGAGACATGGCGTGTGTGCGTAGACGAGCTTTGTATTTGCCTGGTGACTGTTTGGCGACACTTGGGGCAATGTTTGTGTTTTTTTTTTTAACGACGTTGTTTTGAGTACATTTAATGACAAATGGTTGTTAACGAATCATTTTACGATTGATTATAGGTTTGCGAAAAATAATCTGCTATAACGTACGTCTAATGCACACAATGCCGCCCACTTTGTTATTATGGCCACATGTTTAGTACAACGCACACACAAGTGTTGGTAAGCGCACAAAGTAAGCACACTCCTTGCTCAATGGAATGCACACCCTTGACACCGCACATGCACAAGTTACAAACTACTTAACTAAGTTGCACCACTAAAATTTGCACACGCCATAATACATATACGCACACACCACCGTGAGTTACAATTCTTGTGCAAAAAAAAAAAAAAGAAAGACATAGTTCTCTTACAATCTTTTCATTTAAAAACAAACCAACAACATGAATTTACTCAAACACCTAATAATAATTTGGGTAAAAAAAATTTAAAAAAAAAAATTCAAAGCCCCCTTCCCTAAAATTTGCACCCGCCTTATCACCACTGCGCACACACTACCGTCGTAGTCACACGCCCAATGCTTCTGCATTCTTTTAATAAATTTTAACATAAAAATGTAGTTGATTCATGCTCACTATAAATACGAATTATTTAAATAATAATAATAATAATAATAATAATAATAATAATAATAATACTGTCATGCCAAGTCCGCATAACACTAAAATGCACAAGCTTATGCTCATCTTCGCACACA